GCTGGGTTAGGGGTGGGTGTCCCGTGCAGTGCCGCAGAAACATGCGGTGGCCTGGAAGTCTCTTACATGCAGCTGGGGAGGGATGGAGCCCGTGGGCATCCAGCACCGCTGAGGGGGGCTCTCGGGGGGATTCGTGCTCCTCTGGGGGGAAAGGCCTCCTGCTCTGTGACAAGAGAGGTGTTACCTTGGTCTTCCTGCAAAATCCTCTGCAGCCTTTTCCCTGTGTTCGTGATGTTCTGCAGAGACATGTCCAGAGCAGGCCCTGCCCAGAGTGTGACAGGCAAGCACCTTGTGTTTCCTGCTTTGTAACTTTTCTTTTTTCCTTCTTAGGTGAAATTCAGCATCCAGGACCTGGCGTCTACCATCACTACCTCTTACAGCCAGACCGTCGATAGTGAGTGAATGGCTTTTTATATCTGAGACAGGAGGAGGAGGACGATGCACTTCATGATTCTTACATGTGATGGAGAGCACTGAGCCGGGGTAACCCCACGGGGGAGCAGATCCTCAGCAAATGAGGCCTTGAGCTGCACATTTGACCGCTGCTCTGGCAGCTCCAATGTGTCAAGGAGCTGCGCTTGCTCTTTGCTGATGCCTCAGCTGCTGCTCTTCATGCAAATGCCCCCATGTCTTGCTTCAAGCCCTCCACACAAATTGCAATGCACTTTTGCAGCCTGGCTGCCTGCTGCCCCCTCACCCCTCTCCTCGGTCCCCAACAGAGCTGGGGCAGTTCACCAACCTGCGGATCAACTTCACCGAGCTGCCCCACATCCCACGCCAGGGCTACCACTCGCCCAGCACCTTCTACGCCCTGACCGAGATGCGAGTGTTGGGGAGCTGCTTCTGCCACGGACACAGTGACCGCTGTGCCCCTTCAGGAGATCTGCAGACCACGGTGAGCATCGGGGCAAGTGGAGAGCCTGAAGACGAGCTCTGTGGTATCAGGCTACTTGGGAGAGCTTGGCTGGGGTGACCAGTCGTGGGGTGTGGGAGTCTTTCTTCTGGCCAGAGGCTGCTTGTGATCAGGTGAAATGATGCCCCGTTTTGCCTGCAGCAATGGACTGGTGGCTGTGTGACAGCAGCCTGTGGTACCCAAACATAAACCCCCTTTTTGTGTTGGGAAGAATGTGGAAGGGCTTTATGAGGAGTGACAAAGCTCAGTGGCCATGGGAGGTTGTGCTCTGGGGTAACTGCTCCTGTCAGCACTGGGTCTCTGGGCTGGGTGGGGGACACACAGGAGGTTTCAGAGGGCTCCTTCTTGCCCAGGAGGATTTGCCAAGTGCAGGTTGTTAGCTGCTGTGGGATTTTCTCATCCCTGGTTTATGCTTGTCTGCTTTGCCTTGAGTGTGGCTGTCCTTGGGTAGAGGAGGTGGGAATGGCTGGGGGTGAGAGCAGCCCGACCCTGGTGCTGCAGCCCTGGTGGATGCTGAGGCTCCATTTCCACGCAAGGAGTGGGGCTTTGCTAGGGCAGGACCCATCTGGGCACGGGAAGGATGGAGCTGTGACCCCAGTCATGCCGCAGGGTAAAGCCTTGTCTGTGCAGCAGGTCCATGGGCACTGCGTGTGCCAGCACAACACGGCCGGGCCCAACTGTGACCGCTGCGCCGCCCTCTACAACGACCAGCCATGGGCGCCCGCGGAGGACGACGACCCCCACGAGTGCCAGAGTACGGCGAGCGCCTTTCCCTCTCCTCTTCCTCTTTTGTTTCCTAAATCCCCCCCAGCTGTGGGCAATGGGACTGGGAGCGAGCTTTTACCAGGCCATTTTGTGGGGCTGGGTGTTGACACGGTTGTCTCTGCAAAAGGCACCCTGATGTGTCTGTGTGCTCGGCCACGGTGTCTGGCTGGTGCCAGCTCAGTCATTGGGCCGCTGGCGGTGTCACCGTGTCACACAGGGGACTGGGGCACCCTCTAGTGCCGGCACTGCCACTGCCGCAGGGGTTTGTGTGGTTACCGCACCGACTGGGCACTGTCGTTGGGTTTTTTAGGGTGCGACTGCAACGGTCACTCGGCGTCGTGCCACTTCGACCCAGAGCTGTACCGCGCCAGTGGAGGGGTGAGCGGGGGCGTCTGTGACGACTGCCAGCACAACACCGAAGGCACCAATTGTGAGCGCTGCAAAACCAACTATTTTCGCAACCAGCAACAAGATCTCACCCATCCCGAGGCCTGTTTGCGTGAGTGCCCAGTTACCCCCCTGTAGCACCTTTCCTGGACCCCCCAGCCACCTCTTGCACCCCTCGGCAGTGCCGTTTCTGTCACGTTTCCAGCCTGTGAGTGCGACCCGGACGGCACCGTGCCGGGCTCCGTCTGCGATGCACTGACAGGGCGCTGTGTCTGCAAGGAGAACGTGCAGGGCGACCGCTGCCACCTCTGCAAACCCGGCTTCGCCCAGCTGGCGCACGCCAACCCCACGGGGTGCCGCAGTGAGTACACCCCGAGACATCCCTGCTTCCTGGGGTGCTCCCACCCCACCTCTGCGCTCAGCATCCTCGGCAGCTCTGAAAGGGGTGCAGTTGCCATCCAGCTTTGATTTATTTGGGGTTTCCAAGCCAAAGCCCATTTTACAAAGGCTTATAAACCTCTGGCTGCTGAGTCCCGCTGCAGCGCTTAGGTGGGCACCGCAGAGTTAGAGCAGGGCCACGGGTCCTTTGTGCCAAGCTCAGGTACATGAGGAGAGACAGGAGAGCTCGTCTTTAAGTAGCAAGGTGCTTGTGGGGAGCTGAGCTCTGCACCGTTTTTTAATATGACAAACCCCTCCCTGTTTCAGGATGCACCTGCAATGTGCTGGGATCGCGGCAGGACATGCCCTGCAATGACGAGACCGGGAGGTGCTTCTGCCTGCCCAACGTGGTGGGCACCGAGTGTGACCAGTGTGCAGCCGAGCACTGGGACATGGGCAGCGGCCGGGGGTGTCGGCCCTGCAGCTGTGCCCCCCGCGGCTCCCGCAGCCCCCACTGCAACCAGGTACTGCCCCAGCATCCTCCAGGCACATTCAACGTATTCCAGAATATTTCATTTCCCATGGGAGCCTCCACAAAAGGGCTGTCCTAGCATGTCCTGCTCTTATTTTCCTTCTCCTATTTCCTAGAAAACACCATGACAGGCTATTCAGAACAATGAAAGAAGGTGGTAATTATCAAGGCAAGATTAAGCCATTTTAAAAGGCCTAATATTTAGTAAGGAAGTCCTAATAAGAGATCTTCCTGCAGGCGAGGCAAGTTAATTATCCTCATTTGTCAATGAAAAGCATGTGTGTCACTTCAGGCTTGAGAAACAAGTGGGAAAACTGAAATTAAATGTAAAAAAAATTAAAGAAAGACAAATTCTAAGTGCCAAAGATAGGTCCCAAGCAATCTCAGTGCAGGGAGGAGACCTGTGCTTGCAAACCGGCTGCTTGTGGGCGATTCCTTTGTCTTTGAAACAAAGCTTAAAACTCTGCTTTGCGGTGCTGGGGTGTCTGGGGACGGTTTGCAGTGGCTGTGCCTGCAGCGTGGGCACATCCTGGGACACAGGCTCAGCAGGGGAGATTGTCCCTGTGCTGGCTTTGGGGCTCAAGAACAGTTTTGGGAGAGGTTTCCCAGGAAAGCCCCAGAGCCGGGTCTCCCTGATGTTTTCTTTGTGCAGTTCACAGGGCAGTGTCCGTGCAGGGAAGGCTTCACGGGACAGACGTGCTCTGCCGTGCAGGAGCAGGTTTGCTCGGACAGGCACTACGGAGATGTCCGGGTTGGGTGCACAGGTAGGGAGCATCCGTTTCATTTCAGCTTAGTGTTAGTTGGTTCTGTGAAATCCCAGGTTATCTGGGAAAGAGCACCAGACCCATGTCCTGACCTCAGCATTTCCAATGCTATTTTGCAAGAGAAATTTCCTCTCTAGAACAGCCTCCCAGTTCATCCCCATCTCCAGGTATCCACCAGTCCCCTCACCCCTTGGGTGAGCCCCTCGGCTGTGCTGGTCTGGCCCTGCAGGGTCAGAACTGGGCAAATGACTGGGTCTGGGGGGCTCTTCCCATTCGTCGGCCCATGCCACCTCTTTCCCAGCTGCTGCAGGGGCTGACGAGTGGGATTTGGCTTCAGATTGAGTTGGTATCCCATTAACAGCATCCAATTTTATATATCTATCTAGATA